CTGTTCAACATTGTCTCTTTATCAGAACGTTAAAGCTTACCATGGTTAGTGTCTGGGACTGGTCTTGCTTCCCTAAACTCAGTATAGCATTTAATAGAGCTAGGCACTTGTGCCCCACTGTAATCATAGGCCTAATAACTAGAAGCTGTTTTAAAATATTAATTTTAGTCACCATCTTTCTTCCTTAGGACTCTACTTAGGGTTTGTAAATCTCCTTTCCCAAGGCCTGGAAACTATTATTGCAAAGGATCTCTAAGATTCTGGAAAGTCTTACAGTCTAAAATTGTCTGATATTGTATTTAACTGCCTTTGGACCATGATGCTCACCAGATGTAGCCTGAGTTTGCTTATTCTTTGAATATTGTAACTGAAGGCAACTCTCGGTATCATCCAGACAACCAAGTTAACCTCTATGGTGGATCTTACATCATTCTAACTTCTCTTCGTTGCTGAGATCTAGCCTATATTGCAGTTCTTTCCTTTCTCTCTACTTCTCTCCCTTCCTTTATTCCTTCTTCCTTCCTTCTACCTTAAAACATCTGTAGGACTTCTGTTTGGGGGATTATGAAAAGTATAGCTGCACCTACGCAATGCTGTAAGGATCTTCTGTGTGTGGGCTCAATAATTTGCTTCAGGAATCAATGCTTTGTTGGTGAGGTCCACTTGGACTGCTTGCTACTAATATGGTCACTCTGCTAGCATGGCTGCTCTGTCTAAATGTCTGGATCTATGCCTGTCCAGGCCAGAGTTTTCTTCTAGCTGGTGTCCACCCTCAGCCATTTAGGGTATTTAGATATCAATAAGGAAAACCTTAGACTTCTCCATTTCTTCATTCCATCACTTGTATGTGCAAAGCATGGAATTTCTCTTGACAAGTAGAGCCTACTACAGTTCTAATTACAGTACCTAATTCGGGACTCTCTTCTCCATCTATTTACATCCCAATCCAGAGCTAAAACTCTCATCCTGACCCTGTTTTCCCCTCTCTTAAAAATAGTTTGGTTTTATTTTCATTGAAAAGGTAATATTTGTCCATTTTTGTGAAATTGGAAAAGATAATAATCATGGAGAACCTCTACTAATAATATATTTTCTTTCAGGTTTTTAAAAAATCAGTACAAAAATACACACACACGCACATATGCACACCAAGACATACACACACTGTATATAATAGCTGAAATGTATTGAGCAACTATAATGAGCTAGGGTTTCTATTAAGCATTTATATGCATTTGATGCCCGCAAGAATCATATGAGATTGTGTGGAGACAATTGTTTTTATTTTTGTCTGCAGGTGGCATCCATCATCCCACCCTCTATCTACATAGGGAAACCACCCTGTGATTTCACTTTGGGTCTGCAGTCTTGGTGGCATAGCCAGTCTAGGTGCTCTTTCCTATTCTGGCAAAGGGTTGGACACATATCTCATGAAAAACCAATCGTACTTGGATCTTGACTAGAATGACTCAGAAAGACTTAGCAACTATTTTATCCTGTTCATCCGGGTAGTGCTGTCCCAAAAAGACTTCCCATAGTTTTGCTACTAGGTTTAATGAGCTACTCTGTGACCTGCCTTTTCTCATGATGGGTTCCTCAGATTTTCCTTACAACAACATTGTTTTTATAAAGTTACCTAATTTGATTTCTCACACACACTATCAAAAAAAATCCCTAACCAATATAAAAATATACAGAAATAAATAGGTGTCATTCTAGTTTACAGAGACTGAAACTGAGGCTTAATGAAATTAAGCAACTTGCCAGGCAGTAAGAAGAGGTATCAAGTCTCTATAACACTAAAATTGGTGCTTAATTTTAACCAACTCTCTCTTCTCATTCTCTGTATAGATAACGTAGATGTAGGAGTGTGTATTCTTATATATATTCTTCCACAGTTGATATCTAACCATAGTCACAATTTTAATCATTTCCAGCCTTTAATTTTTTTGGCTAATAATAAAATTACTTTAGAAAATTACTCTAGTAATTACTCTAGCAATTTTCTAAATTACTTTAGAAAATTAAACTTTTCTAATTACTTTAGAAAAGTTTCTTTAAAGTACAAAGAAAGTAAAACTTAACCATTATTCTAATACCTAGATAACATCATATAACTATGAACATTTAGGTTTGTTTCCTTTAGTCTCTCTCCCTCTCTCTGTGTATACACATGCACACACGTATACATAAATAGAACATATATATATACACATATATAGATATATATATATCTCCACACACATACATACACATAGACAGAGACGGAGAGATCCATACTGTATGTATAGATTTGTATCATCACTTTTTACTTGGAACATTATTTTGTAAGCATTTTCCTTAGCAATTAAACTTCTTTCAAAATATTTTAATAGCTACAATATAGTTCATTGTATGGACATACCCTATTGTATTTAATCACTCCTCTTTCAGACATTTAATAGCTGTTTCTTTTCTGGCTTTTAAAAATAGCACTGTAATCAACAACTTTGTAGGCATCTGATTATTTTCTTAGACTAGATTCTGGAAGTGAAATTATTGACTTAAAGGCTTTGAACATTATAAAGACTTTTGATATATACTATCAAAAAGTTATCAGAAAAATTGTTCCAATCTACAATCCCACTAGTGTTTAAAAGTTAGTTTCATTCAATGGTCCACACATACATGCCAACTTTTAGAAATGAATGCCAATGTGTAGAAAATGATAGCTTACTGTGTATTCAACATTTCTTTTGATATCTTTTTTCTGATTATAAAGTAATACAAGCTAATTGCAGAGATTGAAAAACTTAAAAATTACAGAAAATAATTATGCCATCCATATATGAAAATGACAGTCATGTAACAAACATGTCTTCTGTGCACATATCAAATATATAAGTAATATTTATAATGTTGAAATCTTATGGCTCATACTTTTATATCTAAATTTTTAATTTAATGTTATATATCATGAAAACGTTATTATCAAATATTCCCCCAAACCATTATTCCATTAGTTGCTAAATATTCTATCTTATGAACCTGCGATAACATAGTTAACCTTTCATGCTTACTGGACATGTATTGATCAGTATATACAGAATTGCATTACATATTATTGTTCATAACCTTTGACTGCCTTTTTTTTATGATTTCAACAGAATTTATGACAAGAAGTGGAATTATGGACTCAGGGGTTTAAATAGAATGTACATTTTAAAGTTTCTTGATAAAAAATTAGAAAAAAACATTTTCTAAAATGCTTTAGCTGTGTATGAAGGTGCACTTCACTCTTCTTGGCATTATTTTTTGTTGTTTTAGTTCAACAATTCATGATTTGCATTTTCTAACTTTTTCATATTTGTTTAAAATATTTAGATTTCTTTTTTGAATCCAATGATCATGTTATTTGTGTATTTTTTACATTAAATCTAGTATTGTGAAGAGAATTGAGCACCCTTCCCTGAGAATCTATTTTCCGTACAGAGCCCATCTTCTTAAATATTTTGAGTAGTTCAGTCATCTGTGGGTCTTGGTGATAAGGATCCTCACATGCTTCTAAGCATATATGATTGTAGTAACTAATGTTTGCAAAGGAGTTTTAAATTCACAAAACTCTTCCATTATCATTTTTGTCTACCTGTGAAGTAGTCAGGGCAAGTTAGTGTCATTGGCATTATTTTAGGAACGTGGTGGTTAGGCTCCACGGAAGAAAGCTATCAATAGCCAGTGGAGAATGAAATCAAGAGTCTAACCAGGTCAATTCCTAGATCTTTTACTTTTCGTTAAGTCTTACTACCAATGTTGGTAATGTCCAGACATATAAAATGATTCTATATGGAGAAAGAAAGTTCTGGAATAATGTTAAGGGACTCAATAGCAAATGCATGTACTGTATTTTTAGAATGAGACGATTTACATTTAAGGGCTTTTAATTGCAGTCATCCATCAGTTTTAAACTTTCAATGTCTAAATATAAAGACGCAGCAATATAAATGAGCCAGCTGCATTTTTTTACACAGAGCATGAATTGATGAGTTTATGAATGAGTGATGGAATTCAATAACAAGAGTAACAATATTCTAGTCCATTTCAATTGCCCTAAGCCATATGTCAGTCAGTACCTTGGAGAGCAGACCCTCTCCCAAAAAACATTCTCAGAAAAGACAGGCTTTCAACCGCCAAAGGAAAATAGGAAGCATTGCGCATTGATGTCCTCCATGTTTTCTGAAAAGTAAAATATAATTTTTCATTTTCCTACCTAAAAATGGTTTTCATCTTTGCCCCATTTAAAATTGCCCATGGTTTGTGATCTTGTGACGCTCGATTTAAGCAGCTTTATGGTATTTCTCCTCCTACAGAAAACACATTTCTTTGCCACGTCTACAAATTAAAATATCCTTTTTCAGTAAGCGCTAGGAGATAATCAGCTTTCCTTATCTCCACTGGTTTTTATTTAAAGGAAAGATCTATTATGGAAGTTGAGCGTGGGTCTCCACAGGTGTAGCCACAGGTGTAGCCAGGAGCTGCCCTACAGCGAGGTAGGAGGGGAGAAGAAGCCTGAGCCAAACCTACAAACGTTCGGGGCCTCGCTGCCGCTTCTGCCCTTGGGGCTGCGCGAGCATCTGCTTCGCTAACTCCCCGCCGCGCACGCGCGCTCCTCGCCCCCGCCTTCACTGCACCTGCCAGGTCATAATCCCCTTCCCACCCGCTGGTGCCCGCTCGCGGAGGCTGTCTTGTCTCACGTTGATTGGTCAAGAGGGCGCGTCCAATCAACAATCCCTC